ATTTTACATTTTTGCATTACCTGATTTATTACCTGTGTATAAATAAGTATTAGGTAGTAGTAAATAATATTGTATCAATTTTTTAAATATTATTTTTTGTTATTTTGCAATATCCATAAATGGAGGAGCCATTAGATCCCTACGATAATCCCATAAAATGTATTTTTGTTTGCCACTTTCATCACACCGCTGGACCAAAAATTTTGTGTCAGGTAAATATTTTATTCATCTATGGTTAGAAATGTTTTAAAAACAATATTTCTAAATTTTCATAACTGTCTTGGGCACTTGTTTTTGTTAGAATTTTATTAACACATTAATGACAAGAATCTTATAGCATGATATATGTATCTTGTATGTTTAGTTGGTTGAAGCAAAATCAAAAAATGTAGTAAATAACTATTTAGTTGTAACAATTTTCATGGGTTAAAAACAATTCCTCATTACAATATTTATGTTTTGTGTTGTGTCTGACAGGTGCCGAAAGATTTTATGAGTAAGGATTCGTTTGAAACAGTCAGTGTATATATGATACCAAAAGGACAACTTCAAAAATTTATAATTACTATGTAAGTATTTAACAAAAATATTTATTTTGATTGTTTTTAAAGTTTCCATGTCATAATGTTGCGTAAAAAATATGAGATTAAAATACAATTTCAACTTCCTAAAATTCAATTGATAGTTGACATTATTGTTGTAATAAGTGTGTTCAGTGGCATCAAATGAAATTAAAACTGGCTGTTCAAATGTTTTGATTGACCCACCCACCCTTTCCCATTAGGCTTGGCAATTATTTAAATTTTTTTTAACTTTTAAGGCAGTTAAATTAAATTACATAAAGTATGTGTTAGATGCCACTGAGTGTGTTGAATTCTTGCCATCCATCAATCTATTCAATCTGGGTTTTTTTTTAATGCCTTAAACAAAGAAGGAAACTTAAATAATTTCAAATAAAACAATATACATACAGCCTATTTAGAATCAATAAAAAATACAATGATTCTGAAGTTTAAATGAAAAAAGTTTATTTGACAATTATGTACATGGAATGATTGAAATATTGAATAATTTTCAATATCAGCTAATTAACAACATTTTTACTGCAACATTATGATGGTATACTATTTTTTAAAATACTGAGCATTTCTAATTTGAATTCTTTATTCTAGAACAACAAAGGACAACAAAATTTTGGGTTATCCGATACAAATTAATGACCAAAAATATCTTCGTAATGCATACTATTTTAATTTGTGCTTTGTTTGTGATCATAATTCTCATACATTACATTATGAACCCATTGTAAAAAAGTTATCTTCTTTTTTGGTATGTCTTTTATTTTTAGTTTTATTCAGGACTAACAAATGAATCGATTCACAGTAGTATACTTCTCCCTGGCTTATTTATGTATATAATAATAAATTATAAATGTCAATATATCATATAATATTATGCATGTATTTTCTTATGAACATATTTAATATATATATCAAATTCCCAGTATCCGAACTTTTAAGTTTCCGAACTAGGCGCTGTCCCAATTAGTTAGGTTAGTCTAGGTTGTACTGTATATATTTTTAGAGATGAAATTAAAATCGTGCAATTCCAATAAGTATGAAATTTAAAAAATATTTAAAAATAAATTTTTTTTTAATAAAAACATTGTTTTGTAACTACTTGAATCCATATCAAAAATATTTTCAAAAACTTTAATACTTTTTGAATAAGAATGCGTTCTTCATTAAATTAATCAACCGGTACATTATCTATACACCAAGCTCTCGGTTTTATTATTAAGATTTCAATAGGAAAATTAATATTCTTATCATTGAATTGGTAGAAAATTGTTGACATGACTTGCTCTCGTTAGTTTAAATTTACTTAAAATATACTTCCCCTTACTGGCATTACTATAAATTCATTATTCATTTGTGCTGGTTCTTGATATAAAACTTGTATGTTAATTAATAACAAAATATTAATGTTTACTATGTTCTGCAGTTAAACTTAGAAATAGAAGATAATTTTCTTTCTAAAAGTGACCAATCGGAAAAGACTCAAGAAGAATTATTGTGTCTTATGAGTAAAGTAATGGATGATCTAAATCTGTACAAAAGATGTACATTGATAGGTAATACTATTTAAAAAAATTTATAATTGCATTAAATTACCTCTCTTTGGTGTTTTTTTTTTTTTACTTTATAGATTGTACTAAATACTAAATAGGGTTCATTAAGTCACATAGTCGACAGGGTAGCCATAGATAAAATTCACTTAAGTTATATTGTGACAATCATTCAGGAGGACCAGTATGCTGTAACTTACTGTTTCTTAGAAAATGTTTTATTCTTTGCATTGATGAAAAACTATTTTCATATGTTGCTTAAATCCCAGGGATAGCTAATGTAGTTTAATACAATTAGAATGCAAGAGGAGGAAAAAAATGTGAACTGATTAAAAATTCTTAAAAAATAAAATTACATTTGTTAAAACTAGGCAGGTATTTTAAATTATAAAAACATGGAACTTGAGGTGCTTAAATTAAAGTTGGGGGTGCTTTAGGGTTAGCTGTACTCCTGTAACTTAGTAGTTGTATCACTGATTACTGTGTGTACCATACCAATGTTGTATAACTGGTATATTTTTCCAAATCAAGCATCAACAGTTATTTGAGCATGTAATATACGACATAGTTTAGAACCACTATAACAATTTTATTATTTGACATATTAACGCTTAGGTTTATATAGTAAATATATTATCCATAAAATCACGGACATTAAATTTAAATGTTCACAGACAATAGCGACCCTAATTACTCTGTGCATACTTATGGGGTTAATCATATTTGAATATACAAATGTGATAGTATCCTTCATTAATAATTATGGTTTTTACAGCACGGCAGTCAATTATTTATTTAAATGTAATTGAAGTTTCACGTAATCCACCTACTCCATTAGATTTTGATGTTCCGTTACCAGTGTCTGCAATAGATCTTTTAGATGAACAGTGGGATTTAACTACCAGACAAGTGAGTATATTTTTCACATTGCCATATGTTATATTGTTGTAATCAGTGGCACTTAAGTTTTTAAAATGTGGTGGGGCAATTTCAAAACACCGCGTCCTCAATATATTATTTATTTAATATAGGAGTACCTGCCCTAATATATATTTACTCATAATCATGGTGACATGGATTTAATAAACTCATGCTCATAATAAAGTTATGATGTAAATAAAGTGTGGCTGATCAGCCACATTTTTAAAAACAGAGGTCGGGCCATGGCCCGACATTAGCATGGACTTTGACGCCACTAGTTGTAATAGTTATGTAATTATAAATTATAAATTCCTGTTGATTTCAGGTAGCTCCTTTTATTGATGGAGTAAATCATGTATCCAAAATTTCTAAACTTTCTAAATTGGATATTGAAGTGGTTGCTGCATGTATTCAAAATTTAATGTAATCTATTAAAGTCATTTAATATTATTTTAATACTTAACTATTATTCAGCTGTTCAGTTGATACACAATGTATTATAATATTTTGTTATAATTTGTTATTTTTTAGTTATTGTAATGCTGTTTCATTAGTAGACCTATTTCGTTATAGTAACATGTATGTGTGTACTACTAAAATTGGACAACTTGCAAGGAATAAAAGTCGTTATGATGAAGCAATTAGTGCTATATCACGTCCTAGTTAGTTAATTTAAAATTGTTATTTGATATCAAATGTGTTAATAACCATATCTTGTAGGTGGACCAAAAGCAAAATTCAAGGACATATTCACTGTGTTTTCTGCAATGAGACAAGGATCACGATTTATTGATGTTTGTTTAAGGTTTAATCCAGTCTCAATAAATATTGATGAAAGAAATTTAGTACTCTATGGTCTTGCTAACGGTTACATTCGTCAGTTGAGAAAGGTAAATTACATAATTTATTTAATGTATCATAAGAAATGAATATCAAATTGAAACTAATTGTATGTTATGGATATAGGTATTTGTTATTTTACTTGACAATTATCCTTGAAAGTTAGTCATGTATTATATTATTATAAGAACACGTCACTTTTTTTTTATTTCATAGAATATAAGGTGTTTTTGTTATCAAAACATATTTATTTACATTCAGATTTATTATGTCGTTTATCTATAGCTCTCTCTGTTAACTTGACGTGTTTATTTTTGTTCAGGAAGTTGGAAGTCAATTCCTATTTTACTCTTACTTTCATATAATGTATTTTTTTTTCAAAAGTAAATATAATTTATTTGTTACTTAAGGTTATGAACTATTTTGTTTCTTAGATATTACACTATATTGAAGTAAAAATAATAATCAATATCCATCTAATAGAGGACTATCTCCCCCCCCCCCCCGCAATAAATTATCTTCCACAAGGCCATGTATAACCAGGGATTAAATTTTCTCTACCTTAAAATTATTTGTTTAGAATAAATAACTTATGTAACAAATATATTTAATTTGCTTCAGTATTAATTTCAAACTTCTTTTTAAGTTAATTAAATGTTCTAATACAGTATAACATGTGACACATATTGTTTTTCAAAATCTTTTTTCTTCATCAACTAATACATTAATTTTTCTTATCAATTTTTAAACAAAGTATTGAACACTGTCAGTCTTAAAATATGTGCATGAAATCATTTATCATTTGAAATGATTTATTCTTTAATTTTTTTTTTGTTTTAGTATCCTGTGGTATTAAAAGAAAAAGACGTAGAAAAAACATACATGGGGAATTATTATAATGGCCTAAACTCGCTCAATATAATTAGCTGTTTCACAAATTCAGATGTTTATCATTTGGACGAAGAAATTGAAAGGGATATAAGAATAGTATCAGTATGGAAATAACTTAAAACTGTTATTGTATGTTGAAAATAAAAAAACATTCTATTATGTTGAGTATCAAAAAAGAATTTTCATTGTAAATAGAAATTAAATGCATTTATATTATTGTTGTAAATTATTTATTATTGTTTGATGTACTTAAAAAAATATAAAAATATTTGATTTAATTTTTTTTTACATTTACATTGATTAAACATATTTATTCAATGATTTATTGATGTCTACAACATAAAAATATAAAATGTGAATTTGAGACTCAATTTGTTTATCAATTGGCGGTCCTACAGTATAATAAATTTTATCTATAACAAAATTCACTTAAGAATTGAAAAGAAAATGTTATAGTTAAATGTGTGAACATATTTAATTATTTAAACTGTAAGCAGTGTCAAAATTGAAATGAAAATATACTGTTAAAACAAAAGTTGATATAAGTCTAATAAAAGAAAAATGTAAATACATTTGTTATCCTGATGAAAAATGGATACCTATGATGTATGTCCATAACAATTTTAGTTTTAAACATTATATATTGTACATATATACACATGTAATACACAGAATAATAAAAAAATATTACATTTTTTTTTTTTGTTAAACGCATCAGATGAGGTCTTTAGATATAAACATTAAATTTAGATTCGATTTGTTTATCATAAATAACTTAAGGATAGTGTAATCCTCAGATAAGACATCCAATATCATACAAAGAAAAAATATAAAATACATACTATAAAACTACAAGTAAATGTATAAAAATTTCATTATATAAAATAATAATCTATTATGGGCACTTGCGATCAATTTGACTTTTTCCTCCTTCTTTAAACTCTTGATGGCTGATCCACATTTGTTGAAAAGTTCCAATAGATGCTAATATTGAACCTCCAATCCAAGCACCAAATCTTCTTTCAGTGGATCCATTAGGTGCTATCAATTTCAATCTCATGCTAGCTGGTATACGAGCAGAAAGATCTCGGTTTAATCTTTCTGGGAAACCCTTTGGATTTATAAATGCCAGTAATTATTAAACATTACTATGTTTTCCTATTTAATTCACAATTTAATCAATGATTTACTTGTAAAAACGAATTTCCTCCAGTGACAATAACATTATTATATAAGGCTGGCCTTACATCCACATCACACATTCCAACACTAGTGGTAACAATATGACTCACGCCCAACATAGAACCACCCATACTAGCACTTGGATCAAATAAGGCTTCTGGTATTTTGAATCTTTCGTTGCCAAATTCCTAAGTATAAAAAATGTTGTATTAATTGTTAGGATAAGCAAACTATACTGCATTTTTTTTTTTTACAATTTAATGTATGGTTATTTGAAATAATTATACATTATTCTGAAAGTTCTTAATCTGAAAAAATCCAACAAGTCGATTGCAACATGATTTTGAATCAATAGAGATTACCTTACATCTTTTCTCGATTTTTTTCCAAAAAGTAATTTTTCACTATTTAATGATTTATAATATTTTTTATTTGAAATTATGCATTAACAACATGTGACTATGTGCATTGTATATAATTCAATGTATATCAACTCATTGGCCCGTAATGACTGCTAATTGAAGTCTTATCCCGATAGACATATCTGTGAGAGTCAGCTTTTTCGTATTTAATTTAAACCAAAAGAAAGTACCAATAACATTTAACTGATAGTAAGCATACCATAGATAACTCGAGACTATCTTTGTTATCTTCTACCCCAAATTTTGAATATAAATAGTTGGTAATTAAACATTAAGAAAGTCCAAATACTAAAATAGTATATTAACAAAGAAAATTTAACCTTTTAAATTATTTTTTATGTAATAAAATATTTGTAATGTAAATAAAATTGTATTAAATACAATTTAGACCTAACTGGTATCCATTTGGTCTTTATTAAATAATCAGGGGGGATAAGTCAATGTCAATCGCGAAAACCCAGAAAAACTCATAAGTATACTCTGTTCATGATTAGAATACAACTAGGCAGTAACCAAAACTAGAGAACAATTCTCGCGCATTCCCACCACTATTCCAGCTCTAGATATTCTAGCTGCATGATGGGAGATGCGAGAAACGAATTGCACTCTTACTGAGAACAGAGTATAGTCCTAAGTCTATTAAAGTTTGCCGCCCCTGGTATAAGACAATTTAAAGTTCATTATTATAGAAATATTATGCGGTTGAACACTTTTTCATTATGTTACGTATTTTAAGACCTTTTATAAATACATCTGAATACATGAAGTTCACATAGGGTTGGCTATTTTTTTTAGTATATAAAATAGAGCTTGAACAGTATAACTGAGACCATATATTACTGAAACATTAAAGTAATATAGAAATTAGGGATGCCAACCACCCGGTATTTCAGTATGATGGACTCCAAAAAAAATATAGGAAAATTGACTTTGAAATTATCTGTGATCAACCGTTTGGAGACCCTGGTATAAAGGTTACTAATAAAATATATTAATTGAATAAATATATGGTCTTTGCCTTTAGTTTTCAACTCCATTAAAAATATTCAATATAGGAGATTACTTTACAAATATCTTTTAAATTATTACTTGATTGTAGCCATTAGGAAACTCAAAATGAGAAGTCGGAAGAGCCGATATTATTCTCTCATCATATGGACCTTCAGATACTTGCAATATAGAATGCTTTAAATCTTGAATAACTGCTTTGCACATATAATTATGCCATGAAGTTGTTACTTCGGGGAGGGTATGTTTCTTAGTCCATATTGGCTTTTCTTTTTCTTTAACCTGTTCTTTCTGTGCAACCATATAATGTGGGACCACTTCAATTTCATTATCCTGTAAAAGAGAAAATCAAAAAATAAATTTAAAAATACGAAACAAATGCTTGTCATATACTTACTTTTAGGAACTGTCTACATTGCATACTAATGAAGTCTCCACCTAAAGGAGATTTGACAATAGCACTAGGTATAACATAACCATCATGTACAGGGATAGCAGAAGTATGTGTTGCTCCGCTGTCTACCACAATACCAGTAGAGCGACCACAAGAGAATGCAGCTAATACAGCATTTTTTCCCAGAAAAGTGGCCGGCACATTATATTTTTCAAACATTAATTCAACCAATTTTTCTCTTTTAGATCTGATATTCAATGGCGACTCGGTAAATAATACCGGATGATACTGTGATTCTGTTTGCAAGCACTTTGAGTAAGAGTAATCCAATATTTTCTCAAACAAATCCCAATCGTCGATCATGCCATCTTTCATATAGCTTACTACTTCCATACCTTAAAAGAGAATATTTGATAAAGAAATAAAATGTCTTAATAATTCATAAGTTGTATGTATTTTTATCTTGTATAAGTACCTTTTCGAGGGACACACAATGAGTTAATGTCAATGAAATGTTTGGTGTTTTCGTTGATGCGATTGCTTTGTTTAGCACCAGGTTCTAACATACTAGTGTCCGCTGTACCATCGCTCGAGACACCGACCACTGCAGGTATTTCTGCTTTTGGTGTGTCTTCTTGGGCATAACCGATACGAAACGATTGTGACCCCAAGTCGAACACCAAAGCCCCAATTTCGTCTCCACCATATAGCATGCCGCTATTCATGTTTAATTATTGCGGTATGACTGTCGTACAACACAAAATGTTAATAATAAATTATTTTTACTTGAATTTTACACTGAGCCTGTACTAAATCAATGAAGTCTCATACCGCGTTGAGAATTAAGACGAATAAAATCAAAATACTAAACACCTATACACAGGTATTTACATTAGTGCGATGACGATCATCATTCATCAATGATGTGACAGATTAGTACAAAACTACAGAAGTACAGAAGCCAGTAGGACACAGATAATACGAGACGCCGGTTTTTGTTTATACTTTGCAGTGTAACCAAATGCGAAGCGAGAGATAGATTCGATTTGAGCCCCAAAGATCGGCGGATGTCGGCTATGCAACAGACCACGACTCACTGTCCACTCTGGTTTATCATATTTCAAGTAGTACTTTTTGAAATTTTTCGCGGGATTCTATGTATTTTATGATCACGGACGAGTTTATTTTACTAAATAGAAATTGTCTAGTATAACTGTATAAGGTATCTTTGTGATGGACAATTAACATACCTAACATGCTTAATGAGGATATGTTACCTCATGAGGTTGATCATATAATATATAAAAATGTACATAAATGTGAACTAACGTGATCACTAATCAGTGTCGGCCTCGGTTGCAGTTTTCCTCCAGAGAACTTAATTTTTTTTTTCATAAACTATGCCTAAGAAAGTGGGTTAGTGTTACGCGCTTGCTCCTCCTACTCCCAACCACCACCAGCCGAAATGTTAACGAGTTATATTTTACAAGCCAACTAACTAATGATATATGTAAGAATTCCAAGTTAAATAAATGCGTTTGCAATAAACAAAAACAAACACAATAGAAATAAATAAATACTAATGTATACTTAAGTATATAATATATATTATCTATGGTTCACAGCCCCGGTCAGGCTGACACTGAGGCCCGGTTTTTCAGTCATATTTAACTGCTAGTTAAAGACATTTATGTGATGTAAGACATAATTGAACAGAATAGAGTAAATTTAATCTATTATGTGGGTAATTGTTTTGATTTATACATCTGATAACAGACAACATACAAATAAAGGAGTAGTGCAAAATCGACCACTAAAATACTCAACATCCCAAAATAGAAGTTTGTCTAATCAATCATCATTCAATTATAGAATAAAATAATTATTTGAATAACAGTTTCTATTAAAAATGCAGTATTTTTAATTGAAAATTATAAAACAAACCTTGTTTTCATTTTTCCTAACTTTTAATTTTTAATTAAATATATTTTATAAATATTATACATCATCATGACATAAATAAAACCTTCTGGGTTATTTATTAATATTTTCCAGACTTGTTAATTTTACAATTACTCCACCAGTTTGCTATGAGTTATTGTTACCTTCAATGGGGTAATGGGCCACAAAAATGTTCACACCTATAGTGAGACTTGCTGATCCAATCCAACTGAATAAATATCAAAATTATAATTGTTTATTTACAGGAATATTTTATAATTAAAATGACTTTTTTTATAATAAATAAAATGGTAACAATTTATTCTTGTAATTTTGTTCATATTTACAACAAATTTTCCAAATTCAATTTTCATGAGCCATACAGGAAATATTGCAAACAGTACTATTAAACATCATAAAATAATGATGCTAATGGGTAACGTATAATAAATGCAAACAAACTGCAAACAAACTGAAAAAAATAAAATGTAACAAATGTATATATATATACCATTGTCATAAACAAAACTTACTTGGACGATTAACAATGTTATAGTCAATGTTTTCTCATTAGTTGGTCCCATTTTAAGTAGGCACAGATTAATAAGTGTTAGATTATTACATTTAATAACTCCATCAGATTTTTCTTCAATGTGAATAATTTTAAAAATTGAAAATAATTTCAAACATATTTTGCCAATGGTTGAAATATTATTATTATTGCACTCAGCATAACTTGGAGATAGTGTTCCGTATTTGTCCAATCTACATATCACATAATATATATATATATTTTAATTAATGCTTAATGGATGTATTATTCAGGGTGCAGCAAAAATAACTCTTTACTTTGATAAGGTTGTAGTTTGGCTTTAGGTGGAAGATAAGTAGAATTTACATCGACAAAAAGCTATATCTATGTCATTGTTAGTATTTATTAGATAGAACTCGTCATCATTCAGCATTCTATGAGAAATGTTTCCTAGACAAATTGTCTCCCTTCCGTGACTACATTGGCCAAATTTAAACCAAAGTGATTTTTTTCACTGGGGAAATCTCAAAGTGTACTGAAGTCTAAAGGAGGTAATAATCCAGGAAGTTGATGTCATCTCACTCAAAATGACCTGTAGGGTCTTAGACAACCACCAAGAGAGACTTGAGATCCACCACTGAAGTGATGTAATTTTTAGATATTTAACTCGGTTTTATTTTATTAATTTCACAAAACACAGATTTTTTTTGTTACAACCTGTATTATAAATATTCATTTTATACCTTGGAATACGATGTCTTGGGCAGTTTATGAAATGGAATAACTGGGGAATTGAGTACAAAAAATTGAATATTTGTGGTAGGAAAAACAATAACATAGTTTTGCTAAAATGACCAAGAATCCCAACAACTGCAAAAGTCATACCAGCAAAATAACAATAAGTATCACCAACAAACACCTCAGAAGGATACCTGAAACATAAATACATTTTTGATTATGGCTACTAACTGAAATAGATTTAACAGTTTATAGTTTACTTGCCAATTATATTTTAATAAGGCAAATGTGACAGATATAAACGGTATTATGAAATGCAATGAAAATAAATGTGCTTGAGCACAATCTCCAGATAGTTCAATTAAATTAAAAATTAAAATAGAAATTGCAATAATGAGACTTTGTCCAGTTTCTAAACCATTTATTCCGGCTAATATATTAATAGCATTTGTACAAAATACAGCTAGCATACCCATGTACACATAGTAGAGTAAACCTGTAGACATCATAAAATAATACATCGAAACAAGTGACAATTAACATAAATATACCTAAATTAAAATGTAAGACTTACCTAAGTTTACAGATACTCCAAACATATCTCTGAAAGGTTTAGGTACAATAATTGTAGTAGAGTTGAAATTTATGTAATAAACAACAAGTAAAGGTAAAGAAGCAATAGTTGGTAATAATAGTTTATGTCGCCATCGTAAGTTCAGAACATCGTCTGCAAATCCCAATAGAAGCATACAGCAAATTGACAACAAAGCAGCTAGCATTTCTACAAACTAAAAAAAAAGATCAAAACTGATTCTTGAATAATTATTATTTTTTAGAATTACTAAAAAAATCATTAGAAGGTACCATTCAAATATTTTAGTTAACAAGTATTTAAAACACACATTATCTTTTGCCTTACCTATGATAATTGTTTGAATAAACCCTAAAATATTGAAATATATTTTTGAATAATTTCTGAGGATGAAACTGTTTTTATTTAAATGTCAGATGTCTAATATCAGAAAATTTAAGAAAAAAAAAATATGAAAACTTACTTCACTGTGTGGGAATAAAGTTGTATCATTTTGTAACATGTGCCGGCCAAATATGACTGGTATCAATACAAAGATTGTGATCAGAAATGTACATCCTGTCACTACTCCAAAAGCTTCAGGTCTAAATCAAAATAATATTAGGTTGTTAAAATATTATTGGTCATACTCATACAGCTATTAAATGTATAAATATAAATGAAAATAATTTTTAGCAATAATACAAATTAAAATCAAGTAGAAATAAGTGTTACAAATTACGAAAATTACAAAATTTTGAACTTACATTTTATTCTCAGATTTTTTATTTAAATCTTTTCCATATAAATTAGCACCAATAAACATAGATTTTAAATGTGGTATAATATTAAAAGTACAAAAAAAGGCAAATACACTAAGTATAATATTGACAGATATTATATATAGAGTTTCCATGATTAAAATGTAAATTATTATAATATTGTGCCTAAATACATACACTACCCAAGAAATAAAAAATACACGTCATATGACATGTTACGTGTAAATTATAAAATTAAAAAATAATTTCATTTAAAATAGATTGTGATTATTATTTATGATAGTTCATAAAATCAAAATATTTACTATTCATAAAATTATTATCATATTATCTCGTTATAATATTTACTCAAATAAAATAAGTAACAAAAATTTTAAAATATTATTATCATATAATCAAGTTTTATCATATATCAAGATTCTAGATTGTAAAATGTTCATGGATGATTCGATAATCAATGACAACATGATTTTTCATGGAATAGAATATAACACATAGTTTCGCGCTAATTTAAAAGATCATAAAGAATTTATTTTGTCACAACAATATCAATCACATTATTTAGTTCATGATAAATAAATAAAATTTGTTTGTCATTTAGGTGTTACTAGTCGTTTTGAATATAGGTGTATGTTTATCGGTTTCACAAGTTCCAACACAAATGAAATATATTCTTTTTGATTGTTTAAGGTAAGTCTATTTTTATATTTAATTGTCTTTGTGAGTAGTCTATTTATAAACTTTTATTTAAAAAGTCTCATTATAATTATTATACATAGTATAACATATGAAAACAATCGTTTTACGAGATGATGAATGTTCAAAGTTAATTTTTAATGTATGTAAATACGTACATGTACAATATTAATACCTATGGACACATTGTCACAAAAATATAACAGATTTTCATAATATATAATGAACAATACTCTGTGGACTAGACTAAATTATTGTAATTTTAAGCTCGGATATTAGTAATTTAGTTATTAAATTATTTTTATTCGCCTAAATTTCTAATGTAAGGTACTAAGCACAGTCTTAAACTTGGTTAAAAATGTAGGTGCTATAGATATAATAATCAACCCGTACTAACATAATTTATTATACTTAAGAGGTTAAGTTAAGAAATAGAAATAATTTTTTTTTGGGGGGGGGGAGTAAGGGTTAGCTCCTCCCAATCTAAGTGTATGGTACTGTAAGTGCTATGTATATATAACTTAATATTTTTATTACTTACAAATATTATGTAGTATTATTTTTGGATATATATTATGCTACAATAAAATTATAATTGCCTAGACATATTGCCCATGTTATGAAGAAAAATTGTTTTTGAAATTGCATTAATCAGATTAAATAATTAATATAACATTTATTAAACTTTGAAATATGCACCTGCTTCTGGTCTAAACCAAAGACATTTAAGTTGCATTCGTACATAATAAATAATTAATAATATAGGTAAATATACTCCTTTTTAAAATTCATACAATATTACACCTACTACTTATAGTGTTAAAAATAACTCTTATAGGCTGTAGCTAACAAATTGTATCTAGTCCAGAGGCGTTATATTAATTTAATATATGGTTTATAGATTAGACATTATTATAGCTTATGCTTATCGTTTTCTCACAAATATATTACAAATGATGTTTTTTTTTTCAAATATGATTATTTCCTATGTTGGAATGTTGGATGACAATTAATAGTTAAGGTGATAAGATTTACGGTATTCGCCAATCGATTATTTCGTCAAAAATGATTCTTAGATAAATAGAAAAAAATGATGATTATTAAAAATTAGTGTTAATTGTTTACCTATGTGTGTAAGGAAAGTATAACAATTTGTTTGTTTCCCCCAGCGAAAATTCTGAGTGCGCGCCTTTTACAAACTATAAACTAGGTACCTACACAGATATCTGTGGGTACCTAGTAGGTATAGTAAGTGCATATTACAGAGTATACAGATTACAGATATAATTATTAACACATAATACAATCAGTTTTATTGATGATGTCTCTATTTATTTAAATTTTATACTATTATTTTGAAGTGGTAGGTTTGGTTGTTGGTGTAGCTACCTTGGTTGTAAAGACGTCGGAAAGATAAAATAAATAAAAAAATTATTGATAACTGAAAATTTTATTGATGGGTACCTATTACTCATATATTATTTAGAGCTTAGACAATATCAGCCTAGAAATAAAAAAGCCGTAGATTAAAAACCAATAACAGTAACGAGCAGTGTTATACTCAGGGGAGGGGGCTAACCATCGGCGTAATTAGGGAGGGGGGCTTAGAACCCTCCATATGTGTATTCAGCCCCCTATAATATATATTGTACTTATTTTATTATTTACATTTTGTTTTTAATGATGAGTTTATATTTTCATTTTATTGTTTATTTTTAATTTTGATTTTAGAGGATAGTTACGCTAACTGTGGTATAGGTGTGAAGCTCCCAAAGTTATTTTGAAAATTAGTTTTCTAGAACTCTAGCCCCTGTAACTATTAAATCCTAGTTACGCCTATGGGTTTAACTGGCTGAAACCCTCCCCCCATTGACCAAGCAAGGACAATTCATATACGTCTTATCGAATTAGCTATAGGCTATAGCCAATAGGTAGGTAAAGGTAACTAATAATATATATTCTTATACTCTGTTAACGATTAGAATAACGAAACTGGGCGGCGACTAGTGCACAATTCTTGCTCATTCCCACCACAATTCCAGGTTTTCCCAGACGAGGCCTAGCCACATGGTGGGATATGCGCGAACGAATTGCGATCTTATCGTAAATAGAGTATAGGTAGATTGAAATCATTTTTGCAAAAATATTGCATTTGCTTTTATGGTTATAAAAAGTAATCACGCCTATGTATTGTTAATATTTTTAAATAACTATAATGCAAATTATAAGGAACCTTGTTTTACATTTTTAAGCTTTTTGATCTAACAAATAATTTGTTATTGACATATTTAGAAGAAAAAAATCAAAATGAATCAAATACAATCCAAGCTAAGTCGGTCTAACCAAGGTTACTTAATAATTTTTTTCCCCTGATTATTTAAAAAAGTACTAAGAATTTTCAATTTCAACCTTCCAAAAGTAGTAAGTACCAACTAGATCCAATTTGCTTCCAAAAACTACCATCGAAGTTAATATAGTTGTACAAATATTTTCAAATACCTCACCAAAAGTGTATGCAATAATTAGAGTGGACAAAATAAAAATAAAATTGGAAATTCATTCAAGCCCCCCCCCCTCCCCCCATTAAAAAATCCTGCGAACGCCACTGGTAATGAGTTTTTGGTGGTTGATTACGTGATGTCAATGACTGAGTTAAATAATTACCACCCAAAGAAAAACTGAAATGATGCCCCTGTATCTAATATGGTCTTACAATATTGATGTATACTAAATCAATTATAATACTTAATTTATTAACTGTTCTACAGGTGAAAATAAACATTAAAAATGAACGTGGTGAATAAGAATAAAACAGCAACTCATCGAAAAACAACAGAGAATGATTTTCAAATAAGTATATATCAAGTCATATGTACACTTTAACTATATTTATTTCAAATATTGTGAATATGTGACTCATTGTTGTACTTAAGAAGAAAAAAGCCAAATAACAAAAAAAAATTAAAAAATGCAAAAATATATTTTTTCTTTTTTACACCAGTTTAAAAAATGTACCTAATACCTATATTATATATATTTTGCAAGTATGCTTAATCAGCGAATTTACACCCTTTCTATATTGTAAGGAGGTTTGAACCTCTAACCTTCCCTGCACCATGTCTACGGCCCTGGTTACACTCATCATTCTTCAGCATACATGCCATACTATATTACTAAATTTGTATTTGTATTTTGTTTTTGTTATTAACATATAGGTAAGCGTTAAACAGTTAAACTGCAGCAGTAATATCAATTTTTTTTGTTTTCGTTTAAACAGGAAGATTTGGCCAATACAACGTGTCACGGTATAAAACATGTCAATTGCCTAAAAACTTGACAAATAATACGAATCACCAATCTACAAATTTGATTATCGATAGCAGTGTAGTGTACTCTCGTTCAATAAGTAGGTCTGATTTAATGACGCCTGGCAGTAGATACTTCAGGGTCACTGATGGTGGATTATCTGCAGAAACTTCAGATATTGAATACACTCAATCGTTGTCAGCGCCTAGACGAACAGTCCAAAGCGACAATTTTGATATTCCGAAGACGACTGCCAGTCACTGCAATTACGTACCAGAATACGATGTTAGTCAAAAACTTGAAGATTTTGTGGTCAACAGCACTCCCCGTCAATTTATTAAGCCTAAATCGTTTGCAACGACACCATCCTGCAGGTGATGATGTTTAATATATTCTATAACATTTATTGTTGAACGTGAAAAAAAATCCTCTTCCAACATACGTAAACACGACTACAAAAACATTAAACTTGACGTGCGTGAAATTTTCCCCTCCATTAAGTACAATTTATTAGAAATTAGGTAGTAATTTTGGGAATAATTTGCAAATATTTTCAGAATTTGCAAATAGTTTCCTAATCTGATAAATATAAGATTGGGGGACGTAATACATTGCGCTACCACAGTACCACAGATTATTCAAACACATTGATTTTTTGTTATGAATAACTAACACTCGTTCAATTCGTTTAGCATGAATTTGCAGGGCTGATTATAAATTATCAACAAAAAGTTGTGCTGGGGGTTGTCTCACAATAACCAGTGGTCGAAGTGGCTTAAAATAAGTGAAGGGATGCCTTTCATAATTTATATAGTTCTCATACATCGCTTAAACAGTCATCCAAAATAAGTGGAGGGATGCCATACCATCCGACCATCCGTATTTTTGATTAGTTTGGGTTAGGTTTAAAATAGTTTTATATAATATATAGTACACATACGTCCCGCACCTTCTATAAATTATGATATATTATGAAAGCTATTTTCTGAAATAGTGGTCATTATACTTTTAGTGTTTCAGCGGTTTCAGCTGTTGTGAGAAACAAATCCCGTAGCCTACAACTTGCGAAGAAAACTGATAATAAAAGTGAAATGACTAACAGTGTTGTACTAGGTAAAACACATTTTAGATTTAGCTTGATGTAGAAAGTGATGATAAAAAAGTATTTTCAAACTGTTTGCAGTTTTAACTGAGGGCAGAGGTTCCGCTCAAGGTGAGATTGGATTGGCAGCAATTGATTTAAAAAGACCAGTATTGATCTTATGCCAAATTAGTGATACTCAAACGTATATGAACACAATTAATAAAATAAATATTCTTAATCCTGCAGAGGTATTTTTTTTAACCGTTACAGATTATAATCAGTTGATTAAAAAAGTACATAGTATTATTTTGATTATGTGTTTGATAGATTTTAGTTCCAAATACATTTATGGATCAGATGCAAGGTACTATGTTGTACAATACTATTAAAAGTCAGTTTCCATTAAGTGCTATACTTACTGCATCTCGTAAACATTTTTCTGAAAATGAAGGTAAACTTTACCTAAAAAATTCTATTATACCAGAATGCATTTCTACATTAGAACAGGTGTTGCCAAAGTGAGAATTATTTTATTAATCTACTATGCGTCTATGCAATATTGTATATTATAATAATTGACAATTGTTGTATCACCATTTATTTTACAGATTTTACGCAGTTTCCGCTGCGGCAGCATTGTTAAAACACATTGAGTTTAACCATAACGTGATTTTTTCTTCAAGTACTTTGCGAATAGAATACGAAGGCGTTGAAAAGTCCATGTTTATTGGTAAATCATTTTGTTAATTTATTTTGTTGGACACTTCCATCTATGGGCGTTAGACCTATTATAAGAATATATTATGTTTCAAAGTCTTGGTATATTTTATTAATACTGTAAATATAGATAAAAAGTCTGGCTTCTTATAAAAGAAAGACTAGACTAGTTTCTAGGCTTAGAATCAATATTTAAGAAGTTACTAAGCTATCAGGGCGGCCTACTATAAGCCATCTTTTTGTAAAAATATTGCCCGGTACATCGTTTGTTACAGTATTTTACTTTCCCCTGTGTAACTATTATCTAATATACTAATTACTAAAGTTACTCAACTTCTCAAATTTGATTCATACTTCAATCTTGCAAAACTCTAAAGCATAATTATAGAGGAACCAGAATTTTATATATAATATAATATTATATATATATTTTATATAATTAGTATTCAAAAGTTAAAACCTTAAATGTTAATAAACGTTTCATTATTTTTATTGAAAATGCAATAAATGATGTATTATTAAGTATATTATTGTATCTTTTCAAAATTTTATCCACTTATTAAATTAATTCAATGATCTGATTAGTATTACAGAGTGTAATGCTTATAGTTTTTGTAAGTTTATATGGTTTATTTATTCATGGTACTATAGTATAATGTAGTTTGAAATTAAACATATTTATAGTGCTGTATATATTTTAGTTAATTAATCATCAAATTAAAAAGAAAGAATTTCAGTGGGATGGGGTTTTAGTATATACCTTCTATGTTCTACCTTCTACGTCACTGCGTCTTCACAGACAATAAGTTGAGAATTTCATATCAAACCCATTGGCGATTTCTGTTGAGTGGATTTTAGAAATATCATTGATCAAAGTAAAAACACATACATATACACATACATACATTTGTTTTCCCATATGCAGACGCAAATACGGCCTTGAGATTAGAACTAGTATTAAATTGTTCATTAAATGCCAAAAATACACTGTTTGATGTATTAAACCGGTGCGCTACTATTGGAGGTCAAAGAAGACTCCGATCTTCTATCCTACAGCCCTCTAGCGATATTCTGTTGATACATAATCGCCAAGAAGCTGTAGAAGAAATTATAAGCAGCCCAGAACAAAACTTTATTTTACTTAAAGTAATTAATTAATAATTACTTATTAGTATACAATATTCATTTTTTTTAAATATTTAAAATGATAGTAAGTACTTACACAATATTATGATAAAGACATTTTTATTTTAGAACGTAATTCAAAAATTCACTGACGTTGAACAGCTGTATTGGTTATGTACAAAAGTTTCTAAAAATACTCAACAGTTATCTAAATTGCAAGGAAATTATACTTTGTTGTTAAAAACTACGTTAGAAGCATTGCCAGCCCTTGTGGATATTTTAGAACCATTCAAATCTGAATACATTTCTTCTATACGCGAGGTTTGTTTTTCGTTTGTGATTAAATCTAAAAAAGGCAAATGGATTTTATAATGAATATCACTGTTCCTTTCTTAGACATTATCCAATTCTGGATATTCAAAAATGTTAGAAATAATTGAGATAACTATAAATAAAGAGTCTACTAGATCAAAAGGATTTTCACAATCTCAGTTTCAAAGATGTTTTGCTGTTAAATCCAATTTAAATCCTTTACTAGATGTTGCTCGGACTATTTATAGTGAATTAATTGAAGAATTCCATGGTACTTATATAGCTGTATACAAAGGTTGAATAATTATTGATGAGATTGGGGAGGGGTATGGTAACAACTGATAATATCTAAATCCTATTGAAAAAAGTAAGTAACCGCTCTGCTGTACTGAGTGTACCTCGTCACTGAGTAAGTTACGGTAGTCAATATGGTGTTAAATTTAAATTTTTTGGTAAATCATACTTATGAAAAAAGATTCTGAGTGAAAATCGTCTGTCAGCTATAATGCCAATTATATTTTATAATTTATTTATATTGCTGGTATAGTAATTTATTTAACTATTAGTAATACGGTAATTTGAATTAATTTTTGTATAAAACAATGCGTTTATTATATTATTAATCATTATTATATACCGCTTGTCGATATTAAATTCTCAATATTATATTAATATAATGATTTGGTGAACAAGTATCTATGGTTATTCGTTTTTGAGTTTTACCGAAAAACCAAAATCAATTTTTTTCAGAAATTATTTTTGCATAAAAACTCCTATTTTTGTTTTGTTTTATTCGTTTATTTTGATTGTTTAAATTAACCATTTTTACTAAAATAATCGATGTATACTTTTATAATAGGGGTATATTTGAAAAAATGTTTAAGGAAAGAGTTACAATTATTTATTTATTCGTTTTTAGAATGGCTTGAAGGCAAACAGTGGTTAAGCTGCCGAACTCTTTTGCCGATTACCACCAATGCCCAATACCTACTAAATATTGTTTACATACTATTTATATATCGCTGGTTTATAAATACAATTTACTGTTTTAGATAAAGTAAAACTTTTAGGTGAACAATTAGAAACAGAATATTTGTTTCCACAAAATTCATGTAAAAGAGGTTTTCATGTCCAAGTTGAATTAAAGAATATTAAAAATTTCAATGTCAAACACCCTCCGAGCATATGTAAAAATGCAAGTTAATTGCTAAGTATTGTCATAAATAAAAAATAATTTTAACAAATAAAAGTGAACACCTGCAACTATTATATTATGGCTTTCAAGTATACCTATACCAACAAATTGAATTTTTGTAGGTTGAATGCGTAAAAAATATTGTGAAATTTACAACAGAAGATTTATTAGTACTAAATATCCGTATTACTCAAGCGTTAAATGAAGTGGAAATATTGACTAATGCGTAAGTATTAAATGAACTTAAAATTTTAAATGTTAAGATTTTGAATTTTATCGAATTAAAATGTATAATATAATATTTATTTTATTTAGAATATTAAATGAAATGCTAAAAGAGCTTAGAAAGTATATTAGTTGTATATATGATCTGTGTAATGGTATTGCCGATTTAGACTTAATATTTTCATTCGCTCAATATAGTATGCGTTCAGGATTAACTAGACCAAAATTTGGACAATACATGGATATCAAAAGTTCTAGACATCCAATATTAGATTTCATTAATTCAGTTGTACCAGTTGAAAACGATATTGTAAGTTTTAAGATTAATTAAATAATTTACTGAACAAAATGTTTAGAAGTTAAATAGGAACAAACTAATAATTAAAAATTAAAATATTTATGTTTTTGTATTAAATAAAATATACAAGTGAAGTATGTGTTTCAAAGTATTTAATTATTACAGGGAAGAAAATAACTAGATTCGACGATCGACCTATCTTTAATTTTTGATGAAATATCATGTAATCTTAGATTTTGTTTATGTTTGTAGTTTGCTTCAACCGATAGGAATTTAAATATCATCACTGGACCTAATATGGGCGGGAAAAGCATTTATATACGTCAAGTGGCATTATTGCAAATTATTGCTCAAGTAAGTTTAGACAAAAATAAAATGATTTAAATTTTAAAGTACCAACCATTTTAATAAATCTAAAATTTTAGATCGGATGTTTTGTACCGGCAACATTTGCTCAATTTCGTATATGCGATCGGTTGTTTACGAGAATTGGTTTTGGAGACAGCATAGAATCGAATGCGTCCACTTGGGTTTTAGAGGTACCTATTGTATCTTTAATATTCAATGTATATTTTTATGTAAAACTGAATTAATTAATTTTGCATAATGATGGAAGGTTAGGAATAAGCCATAAGGGAACACAAATGCACAAGGGAATACAACATTTATTGTAGTAATCTTATATACACAGAGAATACAATATATGCCTACATATTTTGTGTGTTGTACCATTGAATATTTAATTAGTCGTAACTTGTATGGTTAGGTATACAACTTAAATATTTTTACTAATCTAACACATTTATAATTGATGTGTATTGTGTATGTGTTTATTTTATGCATTTGTATTTAATTGTAGAGTGTAAAAGTGTAATAGGTAGTATAAGTTACGCTCATTGATCTAGTATCTATATGCGAATTAGTGTATTATATTCTAAGAGTTTGTATGGTCGACGGTCGTATACGTATTGTTATTTTATCTTGATAGCTGATAATTTTATTACATAGACATCAAAACAAATATATATATATTTCAATATTTGCCATGTTATAAATGTATAATAATAATTTACGCAGACAATTATTTTTTTATAGGTAGTAATAATAGTACTATCAGTGGCGGCGCGAACTTTTTGAGTCTTTGAAGCAAATTGTACATTTTTAATATTTTTACCACCAACCATCCCCTTTAATACATCAAAATGATAATTTACTATGTTGAAGCTATGAAGCTATGAAGCAATTGCTTCCAATAGTATTATATCCCGCCGCCACTGAGTACTATTGATTTAATATAGTACAATAACTCTATATAAATTACTAAATTATACAAACAACTCAACATTGTCCCTAGTCATATTTTTCTCCGAAAAGTTTTTGTACAAGTAATTTATACACTAAGTGATTATTTTAACGGTTAATAATACTTAAATATTTATTAGTTGATTTTAATTTATGGTTAGTATACTTTATACTTATTATCATCCGTAATCACTTTTTTGAATCCTTAAACTAATTAAAAGGAAACCATAATCGATTATTTTTTTTTTTTTTTATTTGATCCTGAGCCCGGCAACTGTGGCCATTAGCTATTAGTAGGTACTGTAGGTTTTTGTTTTGATGGTTTGTATGTTTTTGGTACGGTAGGGGGGAACACGTGTGTGTTTGTTTTGGCAGAATTTCGAATGGGGCACCCGTAGGTTTCTGCCATGCCCCGGGGGTGGGGGATGGCAGCACTTGCTCTCCGGTCACCGCGACTTGTCCGGAGAAAAATGCCGCCCGGTGGCCGAGGATCGAACCGCGACCGGCTGAGTCGCAGCGGAAGAGTCAGACCACTCGGTCACCTCGTCCCCCAATCGATTATTTTATTATGGGTTAATCGTGTTGTTATTAAAAATTATAAATACTTACTAAATGATTTAGTTTAATAACAAACGAGTAAATAACTTTAAAAAAATCAATAAAATATTTAAATATAGAAATATAGTTCATAATTTTAATGTCATCTATTAGAGTAATATTCTTGTACTTATTACGTTTTTGCTATCTTGGTAGGCATTAATTATTTTATAATTCCTTGAAATTTATTTGATATGGAATTGCGATGTATTACTTATAATTTTGGACATAATAATATATTCATATAATATTTGATATTAAAACTGTATTTTTTAGATAAAAGAATTAAATGGCATACTTTCTTCACTGACAAAACATAGTATAGTCATTATTGATGAATTATGTCGAGCTACTTCTTGCGAAGAAGGATCAACTTTAGCATGGGCAATTTGTGAACACATAATGCAATCATGTGCTTTTATATTTTTTGCCACTCACAGTACTTTTATGACAAAACTTCAAGATTTATACTGCAATGTATTAAAGTAAAAAAACAGTTATACATTTTCATATTAATTCCAATTTTTTTATGAGTGGTTTAAATTAATAACTTGTAGTTTGATTTGAAATCATTCGTATCATAAATCATCAATAATTGTAAGAAGAAATCATCATGGTTTTTTTATATGAGCTTTGTTAAAATAACTACACACACATTTTTTTAATAACTCAGGTATATTTAATATGTTTAGCTTATTTAAATAAATCCTATTTAAAATATTGTCCTTTAAAATGAATACACTATAAAGTGCTCGTGTTTCCAACGAATTTGCAACTTTTGAAAACATATTTGTACTTCATTCAAAGTAAAGATCTTTACTCGGGTCTGTAGCTCTTCCGTTTCAATGCGATGTTCCGTCTGGACCTCTGTGGCTCTGTTAACAATTTGGCACTTTCTTTGAGGGCATGCTTTTCATACTCAATTCGTTAGTTAAAATCGAATGATACCCATACCAACTTCATTGGGTTCATAATCGTCAATAATTTCTATTTTTCTTTCAAACAAGAAAAATGGTATCATCTGTTCGTGATATTGAAGCTCATCCACGATCACCCTCATTCGGGAGCTTGTAATTTGCACCAAAATGAAGATACGTTATTTTCACCATTGCGGATATTCCCTGCTGAAAGTTTGAATTGGTCAAAATGTCTCTAATGACTCTAAGCATTAGCTTTGATAACTATCTTAATTAATTCAAAGTGTCGTTAATGTTTTTAACGTTTTTGAAACAAGAAACACACGAGGTTTCCCCGTAATATTATCCATCTTGAAAATGCAGTTTTATACATTAAGTAGGTAAATCTAACTTTGAACAATCACTATCGTTTGTTAATGACTGGTCTGAGATAACGACTTTAATTGTTTGTCTACTTAAATACAGGAAGTCATCTCTAGTTAATTTTGGTGCGGTAATATTACTTGTCTTATAATTTGGGTATTTTTTTAGCAAACCTCGTATTCTATATTTCTATATTGATTTCATATATTGGAATAATAGAATGACTGTTTTTATTTTTGTATATTATTATACATTATTCTAGTTATCATATGGAGGCATTACCTGCGAGAGATTCTTCGAATGGATTGACTTATACGTATAAATTATGCCCGGGAGCAACAAATATTGATGACTATGGATTAACCTTGGCTAGAGATGTAAAAATGCCAGAACATTTAATCGAACACGCTACAGAAATTGAAAAATGTCTACGTCAAACAAGAACAGTAAGTAAAGTAGCTTCATTGCATTCAATACAATACAGTCTTAATGTCTTAGTTTATTTAAAAACTTAATATATTGCGAATGAGTATTAAGAAGTAACTATAAAGTTAAAGAATTCACAATGAATTATAAATTTAGCTTATTTAATCTATATATCTCTCATATTTTCTATAGACCATTATTATAATGTACTAGCTAATCCCGTGCACTTTGTTACCCGTTAAAAATTCCAACTCTATATGAGACTCGATGATGATAATGCGAGAAGTATTTTATGCCTACCTGCTGTGTATTATTTAAATAATAGGTTTTATATTTATTTTGATTGTGGACACGCCGATGGGTGGCTATAAGTGAAACTCAGCCACCTTGATAGTCAATTTGCAAAAAATCAATTGTATGCATGCTTATACCTGATCTGCCGATGAACCACTGCAGGCAACCAATAAACAAAAAAAAATAACCATTTCTACTAAATATATTTATATTTCGCCTATAACCAATAGCAACCGTATATAAACAAATATATTCTTCGTAAATGGTAAAATCTCTGTTTGAGCAACTCCCCGGGTCGGACCTATCGGGTCGAATTGTGAATCTAAACCGTCCAGGATTGTGTCTTGTTAGATTAGTAAATAGTAAAATAAACTCATGCGGTTTTTCTGGTAACGCCAACAACGGAAAATGGAAAATGAAGTCGTAATAATCGAATAATCATATTTCATATAGATAAAATCTAAATGTTATCTTTTCTATCGACTGTCCCGTTCTAGAGAGGGTATTTACGGCTACAAATAAAATCGAACGGAATAAAAACGATACGAAAATTATCACTTTATAAAATTTAAACTTTATTTTATATAGTGAAACATAATATTAACACCTAATATTCAATACACGACATAATTCTCCATGTTGATCCATATTTTTGGTGTTGGCCATTTTAACAATTAATTATGTCATATGTGTAATTTCATTTTAATAAGCTAAAGCTTGCTGTAGCTTTTTTCAATTCGAAAAAACATTCCGGAAGCCAGAAATTAAATCGTCAAAAAATTTTTAAAAAAAAATTAAAAAAAGGGTTTTTCCAAAATTTTTTCATAAAAACTTTCTCTTGGCAATTACGAACTATTAAAAAAAATTTGAGCCAAATCGGCCCAGCCGTTTTCAATTTATTGATGAATTGTTATACATTTTTGGCTCCATTTTTATATATATAGATTGGAATGAAATCAACTGTTTGTTTTAATAAATGACGTACCTACTACCTAGGTGTTTATTATTATATGCACAATCATATCAATTAAAATATTAAATTTGTTCCAATGATATAAAAAAGAATCTAAATTGTATCAATACAAATGAGATATTATAATCATATTTAAATTTCAAACAAAAGTGATTTAGATATTTAATGACTGAGCGTTAAATTTAGTTTTATAACTAGGATCACTAATATTAACAATATTAGTTAAGTTGTTAATATTTCATCTATACAGTATACTAATAACTAGGGTTCGGGACTTCTTGGACTTAAAATTATCGAAATATGCAGTCAAAATCGTCAAAATATGCTTTAAAATATGCAGCTAATTTTTTATAAAATTTTTTATTGCATCTCCGGACTTCACCATATAGGGTGCAGCGTCGGACAAAAACAACAGCACATCATCGTGTTTTACTTCTTCCGGCCACAGAATATTCATCGATTTATCAAATAATTTGAAAATCGTCGTATGGTTATTGGTTAGCTTTTTCCAACTCTTCTACGTGTAACAGAAATTGTTTGCCGTAATTATTTTCTTCCAATGTATCTACAATGACATTTGCTACATATCTACCGGTTACATCAGTCGTTTCGTCAATGCTAACCCATATTTTTTCCCATCAACGTAATTACGAATTTTGTTTATTGTATTTTTATAGACTTCATCAACATAATCTTTACGCAGAGTGGACTCATGTGGTACTTCTTTTCCTGTATATTTTGTTAGAAAATTTCTGAAACTACAGTTGCTTAATTTATTTAGTGGGATATTGGAGAGGACAACTATGTTTCGCACAAGTCATGTTTAAACGTGCTTTTTTTTGAATGCATTGAAGTAAATACAAACTGTTGTGACTGTTGTGAGGTACTATTAATCCGATCTTCTTGGCGCTTCACTGCTAATTTATGTTTTTCTGTTTTTAAATGTTGTACGACAATAAATCGCCTATCAGCACTTACCTTCGTTTCACATACTTTACAAAATAAAATAATTCCATCCGTAGAAAAAATATTTTTTCCGAATTCGGATATATATATAGATTAATTTTACCATTTATTTTGGGCATTTTTAAACCAGTTTTTAAACACAAATTGATAATAATAAAAAAAATAGCACAGTTATTAAGAAAAAACGTAAACGTGATGATGTGATTAACGAACGAATACGTACTGCTTTTCAAGTTTGAATTTATATTTGTTTCTTGATAATAAGATTAATCTGTAGGAGTATAGGATCCATTAGGTTTTACCACAACTATACTAATTGTCGATATTGTCAATAAAAAGGTTGATTATTAAGCGATAAAGAGACTATCGTCGTAAACAGACGTACGTGTTAGATACGACAGACTACGACCATTCAATTGTGATTTTTCCCGACAATTTTACGTTTATAAATATATAAAATGTGAAATATGCCGAAATATGCTAAAAGTTGCTCAAATATGCATTTTTCTTAAAATATGACGAAATATGCAAAAATATACAAATTCAAACTTAGTATTATTTAATTTCGTAATTTCATAATTTCATAAAACAAATTTATAACTCACTTAGAATAGACTTCGACCACTACAAAAAAACATGCAAATGCAAGAAGTCCCGAACCCTACTAATAACTAATTATTACACTTACCTGAACATAACGTGTTTCACTTCGCACTATTTACCCAACTGTCCATCTATATTTTAAATTAAATTATCTATATACAAATATTTATTTATAAACTGCATACAATATTAGTAGTTAATAGACATGCAATGAGTTGGGGCCGGAGGAGAAGTATTGGCAACATAGTTCCTTCTCCGGTCCTCGATACCATAGAAAAAAAAAAAAAAAAGACATGCAATGAGTAAATGTGATCGAGTACCCATAAAATATATATAAATGAAACAAGACTCACCCATCGGTGACACTCGTAAGAGTGATATAATTACGGCTTTAAAAATCATATTATTATGTCAATACCAAATAGCAGTTAATTCTTATTAATACAATTTTTTTAAAACCTGTACTGAGTATACAATAACTAAAAAGACTGACGTTTTTACTCAACTGGATGATGTGATTGAAGGGGTTTACTTCAAAAATCGAATGTCAATGTTATAAACTAAACACGATGTTTTTTGGGATTAATTATATTACTATGGTCAATTTTCAATGTTATACCTTATTACTGTCCATTTATAATTTAGGAGTTTATTCATAACAGAAGTCAGAAGAGGGATCAAGGCATTAATTAAGAATTTTAAGTCGTCGAGAAAAGAGATTAATCTATTTAAGTGTTACATTTTATCGTTGAAAGCTGTATTCGAAGAGAGTTGGTCATTTCAACTGTTGGATTTAGATGCCTTAGAATATGAAACTTTTGAATTTGTGATCGAAGTTAAGTAGTGCTGCATAATTAAGATTTACATTTTTTACTTGACGGGGGGGGGGGGGAGTTGTGTGTTTTGTCTTGAGGTTTTCTAGTTTGGCGTGTGAATTGTATTTCTTTATACTTGAGAGAGCCTTGGTAGCTACCGGGATGTCATTTAGTGAGTACTTTCAGTGTCATTTAGAATGATCCGATCATTGTTAGTATATGCCTCATAATATAAGATAAGGTAATTATTTGATACTCTTTGTATACATAGTTTTAGTATAGAGAGTGATGGGAAGGTATTATTTTATCTTTGCTAGTAGCGACTAGCGAGTGCATAGTAGATGTATTTGTCGGGGATTAATAATAATTATTAATTAACGAGATAACGGATTCATGCCGTCTTGAGATAAAAACGAGTCGGTATCGCGATTGCGGATACGCAATACAATTTATATTTTAAATCTAATGCATTATTTATATTATTTTTTCAATTAATAAATTTTGATTTTCGTATAAGACCAAGGGGGAAAGTCTATATTTGGTTGAGTAATATATACATTCAAGTTGAAGAGTCATATTACTACGATTTTATTGATATAAATCATAATTTGATCACTGACTGTAAGAATTCATTGGGTTATACGAAATAATGTGGAGCAAAAAATAAAACGTGCATTTAACTACTGAGCAATTTAGAGAGAAATATAATCCCTGCATCAGTTCTTTAACAGGCTTCTGAACGGGTTACCTAAGTCTAAACAGTTTTTCTTATCATACATTTTATTTTAAAATAATATAACGTGTGAATAATTTATGTTTAATATACACAAATTGTAACCAAACAATTTGAGATTGTAATTATTAATATATTATTAGAATTGTATGGTTTTCACGTCATATATAGGTGTTACCAGACAATCCATCAAATGAAGCAGATTTAATTTTGGATAACTGTATTCAAAAGTTGTTAAGCATGAAAGATACAGAATGTCTAGATGTATCCAACTTTCAGTCAGTAGTATCAGAAATGATGAATAAATTAAAAGAAAACAGAAGAAAAAATATTGATTCATTGATGGAATGTATAGATTCCGATGAGGAAATGTATACTCAAAGATCTTGTGATTATAACACATCGTCAACAAATAATTCTAGATAATCAACAGAAAAGCATGTATTTTTTTAAACGTTTAAAGTAATATGGTTAAAAAATATCTTAATAATATTATGCATCTAACTCTTTAAGTTTAATAAGAAAACTTTTAAGTTCTAAATAAAAATAAAAAATGTTATATAATATAGATTGCAGTGGTAGTTAATATTTTTTTGCAATGTTCTTTAAAATAAACTAGATAGAAATTAACTATAAGATAGTACCTAACTATTACTTACTACTAAAGAAAAAAAATTAAAACAAAAAAGGGTTTGCATCAATATAAATATGTTTATTAAAATACACGTGGTGCTTGAGCTCGTTGGGTATCAAGTTTGCTGTAGGTATAGTGAACAGTCATAAAAGCCTTCAATTCCATTACACATTATCCATCGACCACAATATGTATACTGTAACATCACAACTGAATACAAAATTACAAACCCTTATATAGTATGTTTTTTGACAACCTTGATTGCATGCAACCACTCTGGTAATTAGTATGCTCTTCAATCACGCTATTGAATACAATAATGCTGTTCTATTCATTATCTATGGATTGTAGTTCATGTAAAGTAAAGTTTTGTACATTATTAAAAAGACTAGTTTTTTTATCATCTATCTTTATTTACCTATAAAGTCTTTAAATAGTTATAGGTTAATGTGTATTTGGTCAAAACACTTAACATGGTTGATAATAAGTTAATTCATGAACATGACGTATTCATTAGGATTTATTTATGCATCATGAATCATGATCATTAGGTATTTAAAATATAACGTTATCCCAAAAACGAAAGTATAGCTAAACTAATGTCTATATTATAATTATAACGTAAACAAATTTATTTTTAAATGTAGGTTAATAATATAATATAATATAATATAATATAATATAATATAATATAGTATAGTATAATATTATTATAATTGTTTGTGGTCTGTTTTTTCATACCTTTATCATTTCCGCCAAAAGAAATTAAAAAATGTAATTTTAAAAGTGGGAAATTATAGTTAACCACTATGCTGTACAGTATAGCATGAGTCCGTGTACAGTTATTGAGTATGTCACTGTAATGAATGTGTTAAATTTGAGTTCAATGTTAAATAATAGCATACGAGAAACGATTTTGAATATTTAATAACTAAAATTATTGTTAATATTTGTTTAAATATTAAATTTCGTCAAAATTTGAAATTCAAATGTCTATAAAAAAAGTGATGGTAATAATAAATGAATAGTTTTGGTTTGGGTTTCAGTAAAAACTACTAATAGGAAGTTCTCTTTCAATTTTCAAGACTCAACTATAAAAAAGCTGGAAGCTGGTAAGTGGGTCTACAGAGAGTCACTGTTATACACGTGTTAAATTTGAATTCAATGATATTAAACAATTGTAGGTATACGAAAAACGATTCTAATTGAAAACGGTATCTTATAGCCTATAATATTACTAAGAGTATTTGATGATATTATCGTGATTAAAGTAATTTATTTTACTATTTTTAGCTTTAATAATTGAACATTTTATAATTTGTTAACTACAAATTAATTTGAAAATGTTGATAGATTTTGTCAAAATTTGAACTTTAAATATTTATAGAAAATGGTGCCTATATATATATGTATCTTTAATATTTTTCAATTGCTTAAACATTTTTTTTTTGATTCCAGTAATAAAAACTTAGGTAAGGTATGTGGAACGTTAATTAAATTGTCAAGCTTTTTGACTGGGCTACATTTTCTTACCTGGAAATCCAAGCATTGTTACTGCTTCTAAAAGTGATTATATACAGACACAACAAAGTCATAGGTACCTAATAATGAAATAATTTTTAACAAACAGGCATAATTGTAAAATCAATATATTCATCAAATAGCTCAGAATCTAAAAAAATGTGCATTCGATTAATATATTTGAGAGTGACAAAAATTAAAAATCTATTTCACTATCTGCAACTTGAGATATTTAATATAATGTCCTTTATGTGCAACTATGTGGGTTCAAATAAATTAATCTGTTTACAAGATTTGATTGATTTATAGAAATATACATGATATATACAATATAATTATTAATGATTAATTTTAAACTTATATCATGTTTCAATATTTGAACTGTTTAAGCTGTACTCATGAATTAAGCCAAGTTTCCGCTATACCATTTCGTGCAGTAAGTGTTTCGTATATCTGTGAGCGCCTTAGCGGCAATCATGTAAATTCAAATATTATCATTTGTTAACAATCACTATGCAATATCACGAGAGTTAAAGACTATATATTATTATAAACGTTTTACAAAATAACTGTAATCCATTGTAATTTATACATTGATTTGATAATTTAGGTAGTATTCTAAATGTATTGACTATAATGACTATAGGCTTGGTCGGTATTACAGTGTATATTATATTATTATGAAAATGATCACATCCTAACCTAAAATAATCCGTTGTCATCTTCTAAATTATTATTTCATTTGTAATGTAGTTAGGGATTATAGGTATTTTAATTTTGGATTTACCTTTTTCAGTAGATACCTTTTTGGCTGTGACTGTGTATAGGTGGGCGGCCCCCTTTTCGGCCAAAATGTACCCTTCCCTTTTCGGCCAGTGTCCCTTTTCGGCCAAAACTTACCGTTCCCTTTTCGGCCAGTGTCCCTTTTCGGCCAGTACCTACAGTTAAAATTTACAATAATAACAAACGAACTTTTTAATTAAATAAAAAATAAAACAATTGGCAATAAACTGGTATAACATATTATTATTACAATTTATTATATTATATTAGTATTTATAATCAATGTTATCAAATAAATTTATCGAATAAAAATTAATATAGTCATATAATACATATAGGTAATAAGAAGGTATATAATAATAATTATGATAGACGATAATAAAAATATAAATTTATGAATATGTCAAAATATTATGATAATATTGTAGTCATGATTATAGTGATATAGTTGATAATATAAAAAAATTAATATAGTCTTATAATACGTAATAATTACATTAGTTGAAAAAATTAATATAGTCATATAATCCCTATGTAATAATAATAAAATTCACTTTTTATAATTGTATGAGATTTGTTTCACAAATTTGTAACGACATATTTTACTATTTTTATAGTCTTCAATGTAAGCTTCATTTTGTCGTTGCCGTTCCACATTTTTTGCATCACGAGGTGTTTTTATAATGTTGATACTTCTAATTTTTATGTATATATCTGTTTGAACTTCATTAATAAGGNAAAACACTGGTTTATCTTTATTTCCAAAAAACCAACTATGAACGAAATTAAACTTACATTGAAAAGTAAAAATAATAAAAATAGTAACATTTTTCAAACAAAAATTAATTGTTAATTTATTTGACTAAGTAATAATATGTTAAATCATTTTATTGCCAATTGTTTTATTTTATTATTTTTTCACTCAGTTGTAGTTAGTAATGTTTACCCAAAAATGTAATTTTTAGATACAATCATATTTAATTAAATATAAAAATTGTTAAGTTAATTTTCGTAAATTTTAAAGAAAACTGTAGGTACTGGCCGAAAAGTGACAGTGGCCGAAAAGGGAACGATAAGTTTTGGCCGAAAAGGGAACGGTAATTTTTGGCCGATAAGTGACACTGGCCGAAAAGTGACACTGGCCGAAAAGGGAAGGGTACATTTTGGCCGAAAACGGCTACGCCCGTATAGGTACGTACTTACAAGTTTAACATTTTAATAAAGTAGTGGCTTAGTTTTCAGTATAAAGGACTGAAAAAAAAACATATAACATTTATATTTTACAGTTTACTATAGGTAATTCATTTGTGTGATAACGTTATTATTGTTACTTGTTAGGTAGGTAATAAAATTTAAATTATAAATATTTATTTTAAATGTTAAAATATGTCTTTTTTTATTGAAATTTGAAAACAAACATGTATTATAATACCTACTAGACTCTTCCTTCCATATTTTAATAACTAATTGGTAATATGTAATTATTATTTAATTTGCTAGAACAATTAATGTGTAAACATTCTGCATTCATGATAATGACATGGTAATAATGTTCACTGTTCGTCATTATCCAAGACAGTTAAACATTATTTAAAATTGCTAGAAAATATTGTTATTAATTTACCAAATTAGTCAATGTAATTATCAACTAGTACTTCACTAAAATTACTACAAATTTAAACATTGTCGCTATTACCATTGATTATAATTTATAACTTAAAAGTTACAGGTTGCATAATTTCATTGAGTATTATATACTAATGATAATATGTATTATCAGTGCCATTATCTACGTAGGTAACACATTGCTGGTAACACATAACCTATAGGGATACTGTATTCACCTCTCCACAACTTAAAATATCGTGGAAATCCGTTTTTAGTTTGGTTATTTTAATTTCGATTAAATTTAGATACCTGTCAGTTTTTTTACTCAATTGTCATGAATTATGAATATAAAGTTGTTACTTGTTACATTAATATTGATCCTCGATAGGTATATAATCATATATAATTTGAAGAACAACGGTAATATTTTTATATAATTTTATATCGGAATAATATTATAAGGAAGTAATTTCGGTAGCTATTATAATTTATAGTATAATGCCTATAATAACCTATCGCATGAAAAGTTATTTTGCGCTAGGTTTTTGTGTATAGCTATGTCGTTGTCATTTCAACCGTTTTTTTCTAATTAAAATATAGCAATACAGTGAGATAAATTATATAATTTTGATAGTTTGACCCAGTAGTTAATGATATAACTTTTTTCATTAGTGTATCTAATCAAACGTGGGATTTGGAAGCCTTCATTTATGATGTGGATAATTTCAATATTTCGTCATCTTGAGTGTTAGTGTGATAATATAATACCTACTAATAAGTAATAAATTACTGACTGATTGATATACAATATATTATATATTAGTAATGGAAAAGATCCAAATTGTACCTTTGATCTTTTTTGAATTACATTTTATTCAATTTGTTTCCTTATAAATTTAAATTAACTTTTTTAAATATAAAAAAACACAACTTTTTTGGTTTGTGTAATAAATATTATTTATTTAAAACATTTTTTTTTGCGTATTTATGACATCAACGACGAAGTTGTAAACAGATAAAACTATAATATTTCTAGTATATAAAACTAGTTGACAGATATCAGTTTTTTTTGTACATTTTATGAGTGGTCTTTACTGCTTTTATTAAATGTGTGAAGATTTCTTGTAAAGAGTTTCTGGAATTTTAAATTTATTATATATGTACCTATTTTATAATTAGTAGTTAGTACAAAAGAAGCAGACTATTTTTTATATGGTATATTGTCTAGTGGTCAGTGCCACTATACATAATAATGTGAAATTTACGTCTTAAGTAGGTACGTTGAATGCAGTAAGTATAATATAGTATGTCTATATATAGGCATTAACACATATATGTATACTCTATAGATTATAATAGTTGCTATAGCAACGTTGAAAATACCGTGTACCAGTAGGCAGTAGCTAGCAAATATAACTATCATTAACAAACATATTTAACATTTTCGAAAATATTTTTTTACATAATTTTGACAAAATAACATTTATGCAAAAAATTTAATTTTTACCATTGTTTTTTCTTTTTATAATAACATACATAACAATATTTATTTTAACTTTTTAATCAAATATGTTTTTAAAAATTTTAATGTTAAAAACAAATTTTGAACGATTAGTTAATTAGTTATAAGTTATAACTTATAATTTATTACTTTATAAACAGGTAGGTACCTATTTAAAAGTTCAGTGGGCTGAGTGAACCACGGAGGGAATTGCTACCTACCCAACTAAATGTTGGTTTACTGGAGTACTTGTCGATGTTTGAAATACTTATTAGTTATTACTTTAGGGCAGATGACTTCAAGTATAAAGTATTTTTACAGTTTTTTTGCGCAATCGTAAAAAAAGGCCAACGGCTATAACTAGATACAAATTTGATGGCAAATCCAAATCTATAATCTTATATTGAACATTTTTGCATATTTTGGTGTTGTTGAGTTAATATATTTTCTTACTTTTTTTGCACATTTTTTTAATATTGTTTATTGTTAAAACGACAATCCATTATTATATAATATAAATGCACTCGCATAATGACGCGTGCACAACGCGTGATGTGTACATAAGAAGAAATTACAAATCGATTAACTAATCAATTAAGTTCATCAATTAATCAATGTAATTAACTATATTTTTTAATCAATACATAAAAGGTTGTTTCATATAGATTTTTTATTTATCTGTTAATATTATGAAATATATTTAAATTAGATAATTTAATTAAATTAATATTTATTGATTATTGTTTAAATAAAATGCAAGTACCTATATATTTTTAGAGAATATTTTAGGTTTTTTGAGTGCATACGTGCTTACTGCTTGCATACCTAGAGAGGGTTTAAGTACTCTGCTCTATTGTTTTATTCTTATTACTAATTAACTACTCGTCCAAAATTCAATTTTTATATAGATTTTATTTTTATAAATTCTCAGAAACTATGATGCTTTGGAATATGAACGTATAAATTAAAAATGTCTTCTGCCACTTAAACGAATATAACTAGTAAAAAATATAATTTTGTTTCTGCAATATTGTTGTTTGCTAAGGATTTAAAATTCATTCAAAATTAATATTTCCAAAAACTATAATACTTTTCGATAAAATGAGTGTTTACATTTTGAAGAATCGCCCTTTATAAGATTATAACACAAACTACGTAATTATTGTATAATATACTCGTAAATTACAATACGTGACTACTTACCTATATGAGCCTACACTCACAATACATTATAGTAATACCTATATCGTTAGGCGTTAATATTAACGATATTACATATTATATGATTATTATTATGCCATCTCACACACGGCGCTTATTCTCACTCTCGCCTACTCCCACCTGCCAGTCCGTTACGGCGACTGCGCGGGATCCGCCGTGTGTGTGATTCGGGACGAACTCGGCCGGCGTCTTGAACTCGACCTCGTTACGCCGTCGATCCGACGCGATTCGGAACGACTGTTCTCGAATTCCGTTCGAGCGCGGTCGCCTCCCCCCACCCTTCCGCTGGACAGACGAGCGTACGCAGCAGCAGTTGCCACCGCACCACAACCGATTACGATTTTCGGGATACTATTGTATTATTTAATAACTATTATTATTCAGATATCGATTTGGTAAGCCGAAAAGCCGACGAACCCACTGCCGAGCCCCACTACGACACTTTTGCGGCCCGATCTCAGCCGACTAACAACTGCTCCCGTGGACCATGCAGACCAAACGTTTTCAGGCAGTACCGCGTGCTGCAATCCTACACGTGTGACGCCGTCCGCACATGACAGGTATAGTATGTGGCCACACATTATTATTATTATTATTATTTTCTACACGCGGAGTGAGGTTTTTTCTACTCGTTAATCGAGATATCGCTATAATATTATATCGTTTTCGACATAATAAAATGTTGACAGTCGTACGCCGTCAACCATATACGCGATACCTGTCGTCAGCAGTTGCCCTTCGGTTGTGCTGCAATAAGAATATTATCATATAGAACAACGCTAACCGTAAACCACCACCACCCGCCCACACGAAGCCGCCGAATCTCGCGAACAAGTTTAGGTAGGTAATAATTACAATAAATAATAACGTGATTTTTTTTTAAATTCATTGTGTATCACGTTATTATTTCCTTTATATTTTATATTGATAAATGATAAGTAATAGTATACATACGCGTGCTAGTTCAATATTTTATTTTTTGGCGAATTTTGTGAGAAGACCGACGAGGCGTAGGTATTTAATATTGTATTTTAGTTTATGATATGAGTGTATCTATGCAGGTATTATTGTACAAAGCTTAACGCATTTCTTTGTTTTTACAAATTTACAAAAGTATATGGTTATGTCTATGTGTTGTAATGTTCGGTACTTCGGTGTACCTATGGAACCTCACACTACTGAATTTCTAATCTTGGAATGTCATTACTGATGTGATGAGCCATAATATGAAGGTACTAACACTATCACTATTTTTCATGTAAACCGTCAACATTAACACTATGTCATATAATATACCAAATCGTTGAACATATTCAACCACTCCACAGTGTGGTTTAGGCGGTTATTTATGACAAATAACTAGCGAAATCGTTTTATAATATTCATTAATTTGGTGAATAATAAAAAATCTTCTGAATACAGAACACTGTGATATTGGAATCATTCTTTTTGAGTTTCGAAGTTATTTACTTTACCTTATCATTTTTTAGACCTCTTTTATGTAAATATTTATTTATCTAGAAAAGTTTAATAACCGTTGTTTAAAACTATTTAATTTTAATCCTAAGTTATTCAATAAGAAGTTTGTATTAGTCAAGGTTTAAGACGGGTCGAGGACTGAGGACTGATGAGTATATATGTAAGGTAGTGGCTAAGGATATAACTATATAAGTAAAGAGAGTAAACAAGGGGAGACACCCTATGGTCTGCAATGTGGTGTGTGCGGGTTTTGTATGTTAATGTATAATATGGTATTGACTATTGGGAGTATTGACGTATTTCGCTTTATTTTCGTATGCACTGCAATCTTGTATTTTTAGTATTTACGCTTGTCGTCTGTACTACACGAAGTATTTACCTGTTGAAAACCTAGGGACATGCTAAAGTGTACAACGGACTATATTATGTCCATATTAGGTACCAATATGTTTTATAGTATTATCTACATTTTCAAAACGTTTTTACTCGTTGAGACACTTGAGGCTTATTAAACTTAACATATAGAAAGCATATCGTGTAAAATTATGAATTATTATACATGCGTGTTTAGTGTAGTATATACATTATACATACTACATAGTACATAGATATATGATATTTATAAATTAACGTCCAAGCGTCCTTAAAATCAAGAAAACTCAATGAGAGTAATTCTGAACCCTCTTAAAAAAGGAACGTGTAAAAATAGATGAATTTTAATTCATACAGATTTTTAAATTACTAATAGTCAACAGATATAATATTCGACATGTTTTACTCTAAATTAAATATTCTTAAAATTGTCTAGTATACATTATACATATAAGGAGGGTTCTTTTTAAATGTATATTTAGTTCGTGTTCGTTATTTAATTTATATATCATATAATATATAGGTAAATATTTTTTTAACACTATTACGAGATATAATATATTTAGAATTTACATGAATAGATTATAACCCTTTAATTTATAATTTATCTGTATAGTTGTACACGTTGAATCAAGATACTGGGTTTATAAGTGTGCTTATACAGTTATACAGGACAGAAACTTGTAACTATTCGTTTATGGACTTATAAGATTATGTTGAGATTTTTTAAATATTTAGTTTTTTTTATTTATATAAACTATAAAATATTTTTATTAAAGAAATTAATGTAGTATAGCAGTGATAGCGAACTAATTATGTTAATAGTGAAAATACGTAACAATAAAAGAATTAATAATTAAACATTAAAGTAATAAAGAAATAATTTAAATCGTTATTAATTTAGATCAGGTAGTCAGGTTATAAGTTAAAATAAAAGGGACACTATTAATGGCGGCGGGTGGGGGGGAAGGGAATAAGTCTTAAATCGAAAGGACAGTCAAATAGAATTTTTTCTGGAGTTTACAATGAACTTCTGAAACTTGCATGTTGAGGGATAAAGTATATTATAATTTATAAGAATAATAAGGTTAGAAGAAGATTATGGCCGACTAACCTTGCAATAAAAGTGTGAAGGCGACTACATTGTATGGGAGGAAAGCGAAAAGTTCTAACAATATGTTAGGTATGGATATTTAACAATAACCTGCTTTTGCTAATTTCTTGAATTATTCTTTAAAGTATCATTGAAAAAAAAATGCAAATTGTAACGAAAAAACGTATTATTAGTCATATTTTAAGGTGATAAATAAACGGAAAGGTTCCAAATATGTCACCGTAAAAAAGTACGATATTGTTTAACGATGTCTAACATGTTGAATCAATAATTTTTTCACTATAAACAAAACAAATACCTAAAAGAAAGAAATACCATTGAGTATTACTTATTTATTTAAAATACAAATAGTAATAATGAATCAATTATGTTTTGTATAATTAATGTTCGGTTAAATTGACTACTTGTTTAATAATGTTTGTATTTTGTGTATTCAAGGATCCAACTGGTATACATACACGCATTTAAAATAAGAATTTTTTGAGAGTAGAACAATATTATGATTAGCAGTCCTTGTATCCGAAAAAAACACTTACTATGAACTTTTTTTTATTTAAAACAGAAATAGTGATATATTTTCATTATACACATTATAGGTCATAGTAGGTACACGCACACATTAGTTGCCGATATAGTCTTGATTCGGAGATTCAATCCATTAGATAGAATGCATTAACTAAGCTTCTTCAAAATGAAAGCTTTGCCTTTGTTTGAAAAACATAAATATTTGAATGACCGACAATATTATTATATTTTTGTCTCATATTAATTACACACTAATTATACTATTAATACAGACTTTATTCTTGTCTCGTTAACTTAACAGTTAGGTTTATGCATCTTTCGAACGTTGAACTTTCAGTTTGTAGTCCGATGTCTAATTGTTAGTTATACATCTTAATTAAACAACTAAATAAAATTCCACAACCTCTTATTAATACACATTTTTTATCACTATCAAGGTTAAATAAACATTATATCGATTCACTGTAGCATGTCCCAGTGATAATTAATAAATAATCGATGTTTAATGAGCATCAGGCGACAGACGATGTTCGTACAATATAATTTGAACATATTATTATTTGATTGATTAAATTATAAATTAGTGTTGCTAAAATTGGAATTAGTCATAGACTATTTATATTTAACTACGATTTCTAGATTCTTATGTAGTATAGGATGTGTACTGTTTAGGTATATTGTAAATAATATATACTGTGTATAACATAAATAATAAATATGATTGACAATATTTGTTGGATACTTTGGGAATACCTCATAAGCATACGTTCAAGTTCATTTCAATTCTATAAAATAAAATTGAAAACAATTAAAATAATTTTGCTGTATATAGTTACCTACTATACGACAGTATTATATGAGTATTGAGTACCTAAAAAAGGATAGGTAATTTGGTAATACTACATTGTGTAGTGGTCATATGAATTAATAATTATTATTATTTTAAGTCTTAACAGCTATTTATTCACTCACTTGATTATATTATTGTACGAGAATAATAATTTTTATAAAATTATATATTTACAATACATAGTTTCATAGAGGCAACTATAGTAAAAATATTTTAATACTTTTCAACTAGTTGGAAGTATTCAATCTTAAAAGTTTAGTTACTCTAAATAATTTGAATTTATATGTTTTAATTTAACATACTATTTATTTTCCTAAAATAAGGTAGTATATTATTGCATAATTATATGGTACATACCTACTATGAATGTAAATTTATTTACTGATTGGCACTTCTATTATAATATTGTTAATAATATTTGTAAATATAATTTACAAGTGTCATTCACTTTTTAAGAGGTTACTTACTTACCTAGTTATTTTATGTGGTATTATAAATTTATAATAAGAATTCATTAACTCATTTTGTCCACCATGTTATACAACATATAAGTAATTTTTTTCCTTGCTATCTTCATTTAAGAACCACCAGAAAATGCTTTTTTAAGACAAGTTTATTCGTTGAATGTTTTTTTAATTAATTTTCGTCGGCACATATTTGTATATATATACTATTATATTTGTATCAAAATATTTTTTATCTACTTTTAGTGTGTTTGTAAAAAATATTAGGATAGTATGAAATAGTAGGTATATTGTGTGACAAGGGCATTAAATGAGTTATTTTAGTCGCAGGCGACGTGGCTTGGGCTACAAGGCACAGGCGAAGGCTGTTTTTCGCCCAAGACTGAAATTGCCTTCCTGCACGAGCCGTTGAGCCGCCGAACCATACATACATTTTTTGTAACATCCCTGGTACATCCGAAACCATCAATATCGATATTGAGGTGATCTATAATAAACTGTTCTTGCACCATTTGTGGTTTTTATATTCACCAAACTGTTTCATAAAACTTCCTGGGAGTAACCTAGGTATTTACCAGTTAGTATTTAATATAGAAATAAATACATTGATACTTTCGTGAATCAATCTGATTAGGACGGGAAAATGTACATTTTCTAATGCTTCAACCGACATCGAAAGGTGAACTTTCGGTCCAGGCGTGACAAGAACTTAAATTGATTTACCTAAGTATGTAAACTCGTTAAATGCATCATGTTTTTTTCCATTTATAGGCAGTATGACTGATACAATAAAAGATCTTTGGCGCGATGCAGATGCAGTTTGTTTTGACGTGGATTCTACAGTTATTCAAGAGGAAGCAATTGACGAGGTTGCTAAATTTTGCAATAAAGGATCGGAAGTTCAAAAATTGTATGAATATTGTTTATTAATTGTAAAAATAATACATTTATTATTTGTCTAACACACGCGCAACATAGGAATTTAGGCGTGTTTTATTTCCAACAATCGAGTGATCTAGCGAAATGATAAGAATTCTGAAAAAAAGATTTGAATTTGTTATCGAGTCTTATTATACTCCACATTATTGATTTTATTCCTCCTAAATCATTAAATTAAATTTAAAATTTAGAAATGAAAAAATGTCATATTATTAACATTTTTTAAGAAATTCAAATCAAAAATGTGAAATGTCTAAGGAGAATTTAAGAAAAATTCACATCTGTTTTCAGAGTTCTTATCGCTTTACTAGATTAATCGGTACGTTAGAAATAGAATCTAAATTCCTATGTTGCGCGCGTGTTAGACCATTTAGATCCCCATTTTGAGCTTGATGCATTAAATAAAGACAGAAAATCACTGATTCCAATCCTCTTATTATAAAATCTAATGTGCAAGGTGGTACTAAAATAATTAATATTAGGTACCTACCATATTATAATTATTTGCATACTTTTTTAAATGAAATAATATTGCAAAGATTTATAATGTATTTAATATTAAGTACTAACAGTTGTCAATGGTAATCAAGCTGAACTCTTGCACTCATAAATCATTATTATTATGTATATATTAAAAAAATGTTAAATCACTCATCTGTTTGAGTATACCAATATTTTATTGTTAATTTAGGTTTCTATTAGGTACTATTAATTGATTAAAATTTAATTGGATAATTAGATGATTATTGGATAGATGATTAGTTAATTTGTTACATACATGTCTTTAAAAATCATACGATGATATTAAATACTACAAAATTACATCGAATTAATAAATAATAAGCCTATCTGCCTATGTGATAAACCATTTGAAAATTAGAGGCACCTTAATGTTTCAAGGTCAAGAAGCCACATAAAAGTTTTGGGTTTCATCATTAAATATAATTATTAAAAATACTTATAAAAGATATACCTAAGCACCTGCCGTTCATTTGTTGTATAGGTACCGGCATGTACAAGGTATACCTAAGTATATACAGGGTCGTTCTAATTGAACATTTCTAGAATATCGTAATTGATATAAAACCATCTAAGATTGTAAATAATTATTATCACTGTTTTCTTAACGTTTACAATTTTTTAATGAGTCGCTGTAATCGGTTTTATGATGTTAAAAAAGCTCTAAGGCAAAAATGTAAGAAATGTTTATGACACATTAAAATATACTACCAATAACGCATAAAAAATAGTCGGCTTATTTTCGTTTTTAAATGTATAATAAGCTTATTTAAGTATTCAACACTAAAGCAACGTAGATGTAGAATACAATATCATTATAGTCGGAGAAAAAGTGTACTTAAAGATGACAAATGACATACATTCTTATAGTGTTTAGCCGCTTTCGTGTTTATGGATAATTTTTATTCACATTGTTGTATAATTTTGCACACGTGTATGGTGTATTCTCAAAATTCTATTTTAAGTATTTCATATTAATCATGACCTAATTTCAATTAAGCGATCCAATATGAAAAAAATAAAAGATTGTATGAAACAATAAATTTATTAATAATCATCATTCATCTATCATCATGAATATAAATTGTAAATTGTATATTTTTATTCCTATTTATCTTCATCAGTAAAGTAATTTTGTTTTGTATAGGTACATATTATAATGATACAGTAATAATAAAAAAACCCTCTTATTTTGATTAAATACTAAATTTATATCAAACAATCTATATTATGTTTACTAAATTTAAAAAATTTAAATTATATTGTATTTGTATGTCAATTAATATTAATATGAACTTTGTATTTTAGAACAAGCAGTGCAATGTCAGGTAAGATGGACTTTAGAGAAGCACTCTCGGCTCGACTTCAAATAATCAAACCATCTTTGCAACAAATTCGAAATTTCATCAAAGACCGTCCGTTCAATTTGACTCCAGGCATTAAGTAAATTGAATCAATTAAATACTTGTAAAATGAAAAAAAAAATAACTGTGTTGTTTAGGCCTATTTTTTTTCATTTAATTTTTCCTGATAGTCTTGATTGACCACTTAAAAGTTAATAATTTATTGAGCATTATATGATAATATTTATCATCTAGGGAACTTGTCGGATTATTGCAACAGAAGAAAATTCCCGTGTACTTGATATCTGGCGGGTTCCGTGGCCTCATTGGACCAATAGCTATTGAACTAAGCATTCCACTACAACACATCCATGCCAATAAATTAAAGTTCTTTTTAAACGGTGAGATTAAAATATACACATGATAACATATTCTGTTTAAAATTTAAACACGAATAACAAATACAAATAAATATTTTGGTTTAATTAAAAAATGTGAAATGTATTTTTCTTTTCATTTTTTCCTGGTAATATTGAAACCTCAACATTTTGAAGTAGAATACAAATTAAAGTTTCTTATGTAGTAATTACATATTTTTTAAATTTATTATATTCATTTTGACATCCAATATTAACAGAATACATTTTGATTATTATTTTGTACCTATTGTTTTCGTACTTATAATATTCTCATTCATGGGTTCCAACTGTTTTAAGTTTTTATAAATCTACTGGTGTACATCAGTATTTTCATTGTTATTTTATTCATATTATGTATCGATAAATCATAGATATTATTTTGTTTTGTCAGTTATTACGATATACATTACCTACACTTTACCATTTTTTAGGCTTTTAATCTATATAAAATACTTTAATACCCATACAAATTAAAACTCTAGAAAAATAAATTTAATATCCTTGAAATAAATTACACATGTTTATACCATGATGGGTACTATCACTACTATCATAACTATCATCGTGATTATTATGGAGAATCATAATTTTTTGACGTTGAAGATGAACATTGTATATATTATATTTACTAATAATGTGTGATGTATAGGAGACTATGCAGGATTTGACGAAAAAGAACCTACGTCAAAGAATGGTGGCAAAGCTGAAGTAATACAAATGTTAAAAGAAAAATACGGTTATACAAAATTATTTATGATTGGAGATGGAATTACTGATTTAGAAGCATCTCCACCGGCTGACGCATTCATTGGTAAATTTTCAAATTATTATATTATATTAAGCATAGGAAAATTAAAAAATATCACATTCCCACTAAATAATGTTTGATTTCTACTTTAAAATTGCGTTTTTTTCTAACTTTATAATGTATTTTTCAACAAATAATATTATTTGTCTCAATTTGTAGATTTATCAATATTGTAAAATTATTATGTTAAGGGTTTGGCGGTAATGTTGTTCGAGAAGAAGTAAAATCGAAGTCAAAATGGTACGTTGAAAGTTTTCAAGAACTTATCGATACTTTGCAGTGATTTATCAAAAGACTTCACAATTTGTTATGATAATTGTAACTGTTAAGTATTGTGTTTAAATAAGTAATAGCTATGCAATAACTATATACTGCAGCAGCTGTACTCACTAGAGGTACTTATTAATGTTCTTCTTATAACTTAAGGATAACAAACACAACAGTTATACTTAATTATTACACATTTTTATTTTATTTTACATATGAATCTTATGTAACTGTTTTATATTTTTATTTTTATTGAATAATTTGTACCTAACATCTAGTACAGACGTACAATTTAATAAAATATAAACTTATATACAGGCGTAATTTATTTATCGAAAATCATACATTTTATGAATGACTTCTAAATGTTTTTCTTCTTTTTTTTTTATTGGCAATTGGGATAGTACAATTTAAAAAAAAAAAATTTAATTGTCCAATTTAGATTGCTAGAGGAAGAAGATGATGTTGGATGGCAAGTTTCGTCCGAGACTTTCGAATATGTCTACAGGTAATTTATTATGGACCCTTGCATCACCGCAAGCGTTACACTCAGTTATGATGTGTTTTATTGACGTATTAACACCACAGGATGTGCATATGGGAGGTTCCTCTCAAGACATCAGGTATCCATGGATAAGTCTGGTGTGACTTATTCGATGTCTATTGATATTGGTTTATATTTTTTTGTTTGAGTGATTATTAGGCCAATGTTGGATTGATTGCTTTATTTCATGAAGTTAAGTTTTCCGTTTTGACCAAAGGTTTTGCCACTTTGCCAGGATACTGCTGATATAAGTTCTATTTTATGTTTAGCATCCTGAGCAGAGATGTTTGTCATATGGTCCCGTGGGGACTGTGTTGTGTTTTTGGCAAACAGGTCAGCATTTTTGTTGCCTTTTATTGATGATTAATGTTCTTTTATATAACCACTAACTTATGATAATAGATATTGATTTATAATTTATTTACCGAATTTTGATTGTATAATATTAGGTTGGTCCTTATTTATATAGCTGTACAAAAAAAATTATCCATATTTTATTATAGTAAAGTTAAATTTGGCGATTTTAGTTCTCAAATAATTAAATAGTAAAAAAAATTCAAAAATTTGAAAGTTCAAAATTAAGGACCTATGCACATAATAAATAATATTATAAATATTATCATATGCATATATTAATAAATTATATAATTAAATTAGTATTTTACTTCTACTTTTCATCTTAGAGATAGTAAACTGACAACCACACGTGGTCACATTAAATACATTTTGTAGTACCTCAATATATAAATAACAAAATTATTATTCGACGGCGTTGTAGATAGGTTATAAAGAGCACATCACTGTCATCGGTACATATTTTTGAATTTAATAAACAAGTGACAGAAATTTACTATATAGTTCAGCGAAAGTTAACTAGTTTAATAATAATGTGAAATTAGTCTTGAAAATAGTGAATACTCTATAATATTATGTATGTCACCGCTTCGTAAAATAATTAAGTTCTTGGTTTGTTCGCTGGAAATAACGCTTATTTATTTCTATTTATTTTTTGTACATTTGAACGTATATTTTAATCAATACTTTTTGGTAGACATTTTTTTAAACTCATTTCACACTTAATATTTCTTGCACAATACACTTCATTATTAGTCGAAGTTATCGAAGTTGTACAATTATAATTTTAAGTGTTTGGACAACAAATCAGTGTACAATGTGTCAATGTATATCGTATAAATATATACATATTATGTAACATTACAACATTATTTGTTTAATTTATGTTTGTGGTCGATGTTTTGTACACTCCTTATTTTTGAGTACATCACAATTTATACATTTTTCGATTCAAATAAAATCTAAACTATAAAGGTATGGTATAGTTGTTATTTTTAAATTAAATATTTAAAAACATCTACCCAATCAATTGTGTCTGTATTGAACTGTATTGTAAAATAAATTTAGTAGATAGTAATAATCATACATTTATGTCAATGTACACGGTAATACAAAGGGTGGTCCCACATGGTCTTTTTGAAATTTTTAAAATAATGTTACCTACTGTTACACTTTCTTATAGATACGTATGTTACGTACACAGGGACACTGGATAGACATAATTAAATGCTTACGTATTTTAATTTTAGTAATTTAATTTAATTTTATGGCTGTGTGAGTTTAACATTTAAAAGTTTGTCTATCCGTAACAATCGTATGCAAGTTATTTGCCCCATAACGGGCATCAGTGATAAAATATTGTAACTAGTAAAACCCTATAATTAGGCTCAAATTAATTTTGTATTAAAAAATGATTTCTCTAGGTGACTGACTTTATTTTTGACCTATTTTGAGGGTCGCGACACTAAAAAGGTTGAGAAACGATGGTGTAGGTATAGTGTACACTGTATACTAATAATAATAATATGTCAAATGCTTGCTATAAATAATGCAAACCTGTATAGTGCATATCTATTGTACACTGACAGGTTGAGGTTCCTATAGTTGTGAAGTTTAAAAGCAAATGGTAATGACTTTTGTAGGTATAATATGTATATTTAAGTATGCTGTTTTCGGTAGTGTCCGACAACGGTGTAAATGGGCTGCGATGGTCGAGAAAAATCAATATAGATGTTTCTAAACAACTGTATAATGTGCACCTACCATGTATATTTTACATGGTGTACGACCCCAGGAGTAGTTCCTTTAATATGATGATTAATTTTTTTTAAGTACCTATTTTATTATTATACAATACTATACTGTATATACCTAAACAGCTTTAAAACGACTAGTGAATGAACGCTTTTCATAAACACGCTAACCGTTGTCAACTACAAGCAGTAAGCACCTCATGTATGGATACAGTATACAATACAGTATATCAGTGGTTCCCAACTTCCCAATAGCCGGTCTACAAATACACAGAAAGCGGAACCTTCCTTAGCATAATACATCGGAAATGGATCACGGATCTAATTTAAGTCATAGTGGCTCAATGCTATAATTGCTAACTACTACAATATACTACACCTTCACATAAATATAGTCGTTTTACTGGATTGTTAAGCTTACTTCATTAGTGACGCAATCAATTCAAACCTCATCATTCTTTTATAATATGATTGTACTAATGTATAATGTTGTAGCGATTGTCAGTTGTCACGCAGTGAAAGGATCAAACTTTTGAAGCCACCATTATTTATATACCTACGTGTATAATGTACTACGTATATGAAGTGTCGACGTCACTGCGGAATCCGCATAATACGGTATTGGTCTTTCGAAATCATTAATAAATAATTTAAAAAAAACCTATTTTAAGATTTTCAACGATTTATTTGACAACATTATATGGTTGGTTCGCCGACAACTCTTCGACAAACCCTTTGCGGGAGTCTATAACACCTACATACACATTGTCTTATCTTTTTCTTCTTCTTGACTATTTCAGAGCCGTTTAGGTCCGTTGCAGCAGCATTGCAGCAACCAATTACCTATAGCCTGTAATATCTTCCTATCGTTCGCTAGTTTCAGTTTTCCATTTCTACCCCCGACAGTACTATATCTTTGGCGATCCCATCTCTCCAGTCTCCATTGTTTGCAGCCGTACCGTTATTTTAGTCTGTGAAATATAGCGCAGACAGCATTATTATTTATAATAATAAAAAAGAAACGAGGTTACAATGAACACTTGAAGCGTAATTCCGCGGAGTTCAAGGTGTATGATATTATACTGTACTTATTATATAGGTACCTATGTATAATGTGCGTCGTGTGTGCGAGAGGTTAAATTAATTACTATAGGTACTTGCGTATATACACTATACATAATATATTATATATTTATATAGTACATGCGAATCCTTATAGTATAATAATAATATATATATATACCACCACGCCGAGCACCCTCACCGTGACCTTCCCTGTCCGTGATTATGTATATATAACGACGAATATGTTTGTATATATGTATATTGTATTCCACGGGTTTGGCGCCGAAACAAATCGCAACGTTTTAATAATAGACATTATGATATAGAAGCTATGACGAAAAATTAAAAAAATGACGTCTGATACACTGAAACGAGGCTTGAAAACTGCACCGATCATGAAGCGGCATTTAGTTTCTTCCTCGAAAATAAATAGGCACTAACATTTTGATGGTCACTTTTGAACACCTGACATATTGTGAGGAATAATCATAATAATAAATAATTTAAGCGATCGAGCGTTTTTCTATCGATCCCGATATTTTAAAATATTCAACTCGGCAAACTGAATATTAACACGTGGTGATGTTTAACACGCTTGCGATTATCGATCGATTCGATGGTCCGTCTTCACAATCATAGTATGATCCGATGATATGGTGGACTACTGTATAGGTAACATATGGTTACGACCTCTACTTAGTACTTACTATATAATATATTATAATATGACCGTAAAACATACATAAACGGTTTTTGTCTGCTCGTGTATGACTTTTAAACGTCTATTTATAAATCATGGTCGAGTACACTGCTCTTGAACTTTATGTAACTTTATGTGTGTGTGTGTGTGTGTGGTACTGTTTTTCTATGTGCGTCTGTCGCTACAGGTAAGACGCGATTTTCTCAAACTATTTTTGTACGACAGTTAGCGAGTTTGCAGCTACGTTGCACTCTATTAGTGAGCGAATCATCGACAAGATCAAAGTATAGTCTGTATTTAACAGTTTTCGCGCGTAAAAACAGGACCGGCTGTGTTAACCGAGTTCCCGTTTCAGGGCCTAAATAGCTGTTTTATTAAACCGACATGGGTATTAACATAGGCTTATAACCTAGTTAACAAACCGAATATAACAAAATGATTGTACCACTGACGTCAGTACGTCACTGCAGACCACATGAGTATACTTTGTCTACTCTGTCTTAATCTGGGACTGTGGTGTAATACGACGTTCGTTAGACGGAAAAATACGGAAAAAAACACTTGACCTTTAAGTATAAACAAGTGTACCCCAGTGGCGGCTATCTTGAAAATAGTATGTGTTTCTGAGGATATTTCTGAGGACCCCTACCTACCTCCAAAGGATGACCATATTCAGTTGAAAATAAAAAAACTGAAAAAATCATCACTGTGTGCCGGTATTCACTAGGTACCATAAAATATTATATTAATTAATCACAAATATTTAATCTGAGGGTCACATAATATGTGTCCAATTTTTTTATTAAGTTCAGA